TTTGGTGCCCTTGGGACTTCCTTCCAACGTGAGTTTCTTTGCCCCTTGGGATAGCCCCACTTTTTGATATTATTGTGGTCAGTTGACCCCAGAATCTTTTGCATCTTTTGAAATCCGAGCATCCACAGGCTTTTTGGGCTTTGCCAGGCTGGAGTTTGCACCAGTTTCAGAAACCAGAAATCCATGCCACTGCACCGTTTCAGCACGATTCTGGCATGCTACTATACATGTTGTGTTATAGTCGACATGAGTTTCAATAAGTGGGGTCGGGCACCGAAGTCGGATAGGCTTCAAGCTGGTATGGCTTTGGAGGCACTGGAGTTTTTTGTTTTTTTAATTATAGTACAAATTCGTGTAGAGCTATGCAGAGCAGCAACTCTGAGTCCTGCTCAGTCAAGGTAAGGGTTCATCACTCCAAGCAAGAATGGGTTTTGCATTGCTCTATTGGAGAAAGGTTATATATTCGTATTATATATTCTAATTTTTCGGCATTGCATTTCAAGGATGCTTCCTCCTGCCTTCCAGATCGTTGGTTTTAAGACATTTTAGCGGGGTGATCTCATGTGTGTGTATATTTCATATATGTACTGTCCTGGCTCTGGTCTGGGCTAGCTAAGACCAAAGTCATTTCGTGCTGACGCTCCATGACGCTCCCATGCTGCTGTGTGCGAAAGACATCCAACCGACGTTGCAATCGTTTTTCTACGCTCGTGCGACAAGGTAGCAGCTAGCACAGCTTTCCACAAGCAAGTTTCATCCAAGTGTCAATCTGGACATGTATCTATAGTTATCTAGTGGCCTCGTTATGAGTTATGAATGGGTCAGTGGTCCATTTGGTCAGCAACTCCTTATTTGGACATCAAACCTCCTAGAAACACACGGAACATAGGAGGTGGCCACTACCGATTCCCAAAGAAGTCAGTCTCAAGAAGCTGCCCCCGCATCCAGCACAATGCCAAGTGTTGCTGTGGAGTTAAGGCACTTGTGCCATCGTGTCATGATGTGTCATGTGTGTTGCTTCAACCGTGTCGCTGGCTGAGCCATGAGCCCAATAAGGCCTGGAAGAGCTTCAACAGGACACTGCGGCTGGAAGGTGCGAAGGAAACCATCACCACCAAGTGCGAAGATCTCAGCACCTGTGGAGCATTGTTGGTCGTTGGTCAGATCCTGTGGTTTTGACTCTGGATTGGGCTGATCGGGCTTGGGGCAAACCATAGGAGAGGTGTTCGGTTGACCAGATGAGCTGTGATGAGCTGCATCATGGTGAACCAAGAAAAGCATGGAGCTGTACTATACGTTGGGATGTTGTAGAATCTTGAAGAGGTGCTTGTTGAGATTGGCGAGCAGACAGGGCACTCTACCTTTGCTTCCCTTTGATCCCACGCATCATGTGCTTTCTTTTCGTGAAGAATGCATTGTTTGCTTGTAGGTTGGAGTCATCGCTAATTATTAGGTTGGACCATTACTATTAGGTTGGAGGCCATCGCCCTTAGGTTGGAGGCCATCACTAGTAGGTTGGAGGCCATTACTATATATTAGGTTGGAGGCCATCGCCATTAAGTTGGGGCCATTAGTATTAGGTTGGAGGCCATCCCCATTAGGTTGGAGGCCATCGCTATCAGGTTGGAGGCCATTGCTTCTAGCTGTTGGCATTTCATCTGACCTTTGGGTTCGAAAGAGTCAATTTGAGGTGGGGAAGCTATGGCTCTTGCCAGCTGCGATCCCAGTCCTTGCTCTTCAGTGCTCTTTCTCTCTCGGCGACCGGGTGTATCCGGCTGTCCAATTTCACGCCCAGGCCTTGGGCGCTTTGACGCGGCCCAGGCCTCGGCCGTGACGGCCCAGAAGTTGGGCGGAGGCGGCGGAGCTCCCTGTGCCCGGCACTTTCAAGGCAGCGCCCACGCGGGAAGATGGCGGATGGTCACCGATGGAGTCGGGACCCTCTGGTGACGGCTTGTACATGTTGCCGCGTGAAGTCAGATGGGGGTTTGTACTTTCCAACAAAGTCTTTAGGGACCCGTGTTGGTCGAGCGTGGCTGCTGATTGCATTTGGATTAATCCCTTCCACCTCCCGCATCAATTATCCCGGCAAAAAAAACAAACAGTGTGTGTGTGTGTGAGGTCTGTAAGCAGAAAGTCTAGAGATCCAGACGCATTGCGGTCCAGAGAGGTGATGGTGGTGATGAAGTGAAGGTGGGTGTGAGGGAGTGTGGATGAGAGGGAGTGTGAGTGTGAGTGAGAGTGGGAGATTGAGTGTGAGTGCGAGTGTGAGTGAGAGTGAGTGTGGGCGAGAGTGAGAGTGAGAGTGAGTGTGAGCGTAAGTGTAAGTGAGCGTGAGTGAGAGTGAAGGTGGGGGTTAGTGAGTGTGGGTGAGAGTGAGTGTGAGTGAGAGTGGGAGAGTGAGTGAGTGCGAGTGAGAGTGAGAGTGAGTGTAAGTGTGAGTTGGTTGCGGACGGTTGCGAACCCCTATAGATCTGGTTAGACAAAAGTCTCGGAAAGTAAACTCATGTCTTTTGACTAATTAGATAAAAAAAGGTGAAGTTAACTTTTTGAACTAAAAAGCTAAATTGAAAAGCTTTAATTCTCAAACGGTCTTTTTTAAAGGTAACTTGTTAGAGTGGACTTTTTTGAAAGGTAACTTGTTAGAGTTAGTTTCTTTAGAAAGGTAATTTGTTAGGGTTAACTTTTAAACATGCATAGTTGACCATCATTTAAGACATGCTTTGTTGCAAATTGTTCTTTTGTTTGTTATTGTTGTTTGTTGTTTGTCCATCTTGTGGGCCTCCCTTGACTCCGTCCAACCAGCATGGGCCTCAAACTGTTTTGTCTTCTAGTGATGGTTTTGTCTTCTAGTTCTACTGATGGATGTGTGCATTTATATTTGTCAATGTGGTAGGCGTGGGCATTTGAGAGCTGCCTAGGATTATTGTGGATGGTTTTGAGAGTTGTGTATTGTTGTGTTGGTAGAATTACTTTTTGGTGGGGTTGTGTAGGATTTTCAAGGCAAAGAACAAGCATGCATGAACTGTCCTTTTCAAGGGCAGATGCTTTGGAGTTGAAGAACAACTGCATCCCATGTGGGACCTCTCCCAGCATTTTGCTTGAGAGGATGAGGTAAGCCTTCCCAACATGTTCGTTTGCACTTCCAAATTGCGCATGCTCATTCACTGCCATATCACCAAGAGTGGTATGGTGTTATTCAGCTGAGAACTATATAACACATGGGCATCAGTTGCAAGATCTGCAGGAACTGCTCAAAGGGCACCCCTCCCTGCAGGCTGGTCAGAAACTCTTGGAGCATTGGAGAATGTCCTTTGCCCTGGATCTGGCAGATGGCAGTTGAAAAAAACATTTGTTTGTGCTTAAGTATGATTCTTGTTGCAGTGCTTAGGATTATTTGTGCCTGGCCTGGAGGATTATTGCTGCACAGCATGGAGTGGTCCTGGCCATTTATTAGGATTTGGGGTGGAATGTACGTAGGATTATTGTTGCAAAGCATGGTGTCATTTTTCCAATGCACTGGTTTGTTTGTGCAATGTATGCCATGTTGTTTAGCATTATATTTTTTTGGTGAAATGTCTGTTTGTTGGGTGATATAAATATGCACTACCTATGTAGATTTTCTGCTTAAAAGAGTAAACTTTCACCTTTCAATTTAAATATTTTACTTTTTAACTAATTAGATATTTTGTTAATCTATCTAATTAAAAGCCATGAATTAACTTTCTGACACAATTTTCTGTCTAACCAGATCTATAGGGAACGCTGAGACAACGCGTCGCGAACAAGGCTCTACCCCCAGACCCCCAGAGTTAAACGAGAACCCTTCGCTACGCATTCCGGAAAAAACGTTCCCCCAAAATGACCTTGGGTGCAGTTAAGTAGTAGAAGGTAAAGGGATGTAATGGCGTAATTTACAAACCAAGGCAATCTGGTTTTTAGATTTTTTAGGCGGCTCTTTTGAAGAGGGACAGGTCTTTATAATTATACATATATATAACTGAGTAGTGCTTTTGAAAACTGTAGGTACGCGCCGCGATTGTTCGTGCATGTGGCGTTCTGTTTATTCCTTGAGTGGTCTTGCATTGTTGCCACCTGAGCAAAGAACCAGCCACCAAAACCCAAGTTGGCTGATGCCGAAATTACTTTGGAAAACTCAGATCCCTAGCAGTTTTTGACGAACTCAGTTGATCTCAGACAAGGAGTTCCCAAGGTTATATAACTTGCCACGGCCAGAGTGATAAGTGTTTGTTCGCATCCTGCACGTGAGTTTTGTGCGTTAGACATCTCTTCAACTCGGAGTTTTCCGAGCTGGGTCCAGGAGTGGTATGAGTTCTATCGACGGGACAGTAAACATAGTAAACGCAGCTGCTAAATCAAATTAGTGGGCACGATGTTTGCTCAAGTTGCGCCTTTCTTACTATGACAAAGGACATGTGAGTCCAAGACCACAGGTGAGTGCACCAGCAGTAACTTAATTATAAGGGGCCTATAGTAAGTCCACTGCATTGTTTGTAAAGTTTTACATGTGAACCACATGCACTGAAGCAGCAAATGCAAAATGCCATCCCCTTCCGGAGGAAAGATGCCACCCATGGACCTTCCTGAAGGTGCTGTGCTGGGTTGGGTGTTCCTGGGAGAGGCAACACACATTTGTGAGGTTTAGTCATACGGGACCATGTCAGCAAAACCCTACAATATGCGCATGTGTTGATTATACATATATATATATATACACATTAATATACATACTAATAACGGGTATTACATACAGTTATATATGTTACATAACTGGAGTTGTAAAGATGCATTGTATATTAGAGAACACTTTGCCATACAAGCCAAGCAGATTCCTAGACATGAGAGAAACTGACACACAATCGGCTGCCAGCAGACCAATATATTATTTTAGCATAGCTTGTCTTAGGGCAGACGTTGATGATGTGCTTTCTGCAGATTTGCTCAAAGCCACTCTGTGGGGAGGCAACAGTATTTAAGACGCCATGGCACAGGAGGACAATTTTGAGGTTCGGCTCAAAAATACCTTCCTGGAATTCAACGAGATACAGGCACAGGACTGATGAAGGTTTGATACAAAAACGCACTTACTAATTCGCTGGAAAAGGATGTCTTGAAGTTTTGCGAGAAAAAGGTAGATGTTTTTGCATGCCAACCCTCAGGACAATGTGCGGCTACGATCTCGTTCTTGGTCTTCAGGAGACAGGCATGATTACGAGGTGGAGCTGGCTGTGAGCGATGTGAGCCCGGTTCCAGGGAAATCTGAAGATCTAGCGCTTCTTGAAGCTGAGATAGAGATTGCTGCAGACATCCAAAGAACACCTGGAGAAGAGGACGACGCAGGAACTCCAAATCCCGATGGCCCGACACCACCAAGATCACTCCACGCAGCGGGAACATGCAACCCATGCGTGTATTTTGCTAGCCTCCACGGATGCCATTGGGCCAATTGTGGCTTTTGCCACTTGGGCCATGGTTTGGTCAAGAAGTTGCGTCCTCGGAAGCAGGCCCGAGATGCATACAAACAAAAGCTCGCAGAGGTCTTGGAAGAGACTGCCGCAGACTCAGGAATTGACAGAGGATACGGTACATGGTCACTAAATGCTGAGCAAAGACTGCAAAGACTGCAGATGTGATGTGACCACAATTTTGTGATTTCAATGCTCAAGAGCAAACACCTGGATGTTGAGAGTTAAAAAGTTGTAGTAGCGTCCTTGCTCCTAGTAGCGATGCCAGGAGCCCCTGGTAGCTTCTTGCTCCTGGTAGTAAGGCCAGGAGCCCCTAGTAGCATCCAGGCTACTTGAGAATTAAGAACAGTTTGTTTTGCAAAAACATAATTTCTAAACTTAGGATCCACGAGCTCGACACATGGCGCTCCAAGAGTTGGCTACAAAAGACAAATATGTACGGGCGTTGATTATCGCACAGCTGGACATGGAGTCTCTTGTTTGCAAATATGCTGACTTTTTTGTATTGTAGCTTTGCCAAGCTATTTAGTTTAGGTCCATGTTGCTTGGCGCATCAGGATTGCCCCATGATATCTTCCAGGATGCAACATGGGGCAAAGTAAGGCAGCAATTGATGTGATTTTCTTGTCGGAAGTTTGAGCTGTTCAAGAAGCCATTCTTTTGACTCTTCACTTTGTTTGTTGAGACGTGATAGCATAATACAAAGCAGACCAATTTCTTTGCAAATGATTCTTCAAGAAGTCAAGTCTTCAGCGAATGCTTTTTGGGAGGCTCAGTGATGGCGGATGGCCATGCAAACAGTTGCACAGTTTAGATGCGCATGCCTGATCAAGAAGGCCAAAGTAGTGGGATTTTGGGGTGTAGCAAGAACGATGCTGCCTTTGCACTGAGTGTATCTCAATGGTCAATCTACATAATTTCCAAGAATCCAATGGATGCTATTGTTGGTCTTCTGAAGTCTAGGATCGGTGGTGCAAGTCAAGGCAGGCAAGCTCCATGTGTGTGGTTTCCTTTGAAATCCAGGCAATAGATATTTTCCCTGTCTTGACACGTGCATTGGTTTCAATCCCACTACCAGAGCTTGGCTGGCACTGCACCTACCGTTCGTGCAGAATCATTCTTCGTGTTGCCCGCCGCACCAGGTCAAGCATTCCTTTGTGTTGCTTGAAGTTTAAAAGGCCAAGGTCATCCAATCATCCAGCAAGTTATGAAAAAACACACATACAGTGTGTCGCCAAATAAAACCGGGTAACGTAATCATGCTTGCCCGCGGTGCGGACGGAATTGTTCTTCTGACGGAATTGTTCTTCTTCCACCGGTCGGAGAAGCTTGTGGCATCTTGTGGCACTCGCCGCCATGAGGCCTCTGTCGGAAGCCACAGACTATTCATGCCAACCGTTCACCTTTATTCCGAAGCTTCAGCTTAGCAAGCTGCAGCTCGTACAGTCAACACCTCATTGCTGTAGAACAGCCATGGGATAGTTTTTACTCACAAGGAAAAACATTAAAACATGAGTTTGTCATCCTCACGACTGTTTTTCGAGCAGGCGCTATCTCAAATAATTCCAAGAACAGGGAGATTGCAAGTCATATCGAGTCGCTGGAACAACGTAGATTTTGGCCTTATATGGTTGTGCTTGGGCATTCGTGTGGCCAGCGCAAAAATGTATCAAGTCACTTCCGAGAGTTCCGTTTCATTCATACAGTTCTGATAATCATGTTGAATTCGTTTTGCTTCAGGCTATGAGCGGCTTCAAGATGCCTGGGCCGCAGTGGAGTCGGCACACGCTTGGAGGCCCTCATGTGAGGAAGTGTGGAGAAATCTCAGAGCATGGATTCAGCAATTGTTGGCCACGAGTTTGGCAACTCCAAACAAAAAAAGCCGGCTAACGCTCAATCGGATTTGGTTTTACACTGCACAGGCCTATCTTATATAGTGTTTTGGCATCTAGTTGTGATATGTTGTCACTCACCTGAAAGCCGAACAAGGTATATATATATTACTGTATACGGTTGGTTGCGTTCGTGGTGCACGTTCACCATGCTTTGACATTGTTCTTTTTTGGAAGCGTGTTTGGGCCCGCAATAATATGATATTTGCTCCGGCAGTTATCACTCCGCAAAAGTGGCTGGTATGCCACAGTACACGGATTCCTTATTTTGATTCTGATAAATATATTAGGCAATGACAATGCTTGCTAAAACTTTGTACAGTACAGGATGTGGATAGGGAGCATTGATGACCTCGGGAGAGAGTCACTGACTTGCATCCAACAGACATGATGTTTCACATCTCCTGCTTTGTGGTCAGCGTTAGACTCAATGGTTTATACGGCGTGTCAACAGGGCTTTGTAATACAGCCACATTTGAGCACTTGTGTTTTTCCCTGACAGCGGTCAAGAGGGCATGGCACTCGCTTGTGCACGCGGAAATCGTATCGCTTGTGCACGCGGAAAACGCCTCGCTTGAAGACGCGCAGGTTGGAAGGATGAGAAGCCTCTTGAGGAGTGTGCGCCTGCACACTCTTTCAAATGCCAGCATGACATATGTCCATTCCAACGGTGCATACCTTTTGTGAGCCACGCGAGGGTACATTTTAGAGGAGGAAGGTGCCATTCCAAGGGTGCATGACTTTTGTGAGCCACCCGAGCTCCTAGGGCAAAA